CTCTCCTCTCCCACTCACACGATCTCCTCTATATCACCCTCGAACTCACACCCAACTCTTCGTTTCCCATTTGGATCACAGTCGAGGGGCATGTGTATACAATCCTTCTCCATTTTCTTCAGAATAATTGTCGAACAGAAGTTTCTTGGTTGGTTATTTCACAGAGTTCCTAACTCTCTCTGGTCATCTCATCTTGACCAGGGAGCCATCGAAGACAGCTGTTGATTATAGCCTGCAGTAGCCTCTTCGAAACAACTTTCGTGACACGTCAAATGTGTTCGAAGAACTGACTGGCTGACTTAACATCAATGTTGAAAATCCGAATTCTGTTGTTTATCGTGAGTTCAGAAGATTTCCAAACTGATGATTTCAGAGTGATAGTTGTCTGTCTTGATTTTCCGATTGTGCTGTCGACATCTTCATCTGTGCCGCTGCCTGTATTTGAAACGAGGCTTCCTAGCCGGATAAGTGAATGAATTGACCTTTTAGAAATTTCTTCCGCTGATAGTGATTAGTGCTTGTTGTTGTTGCTGTTGTTGGTTGGTTATCTTCGTCACCTCCGTTTTTCTCTAAGTTCCTTTGAAGTACCCTCTTCACCGATGGTGTCTTCGGCCACCTTGTTGGCTTTCGCCCGTATATGTTCGAGTTTGTTTGACATTAGACATAAATCGTCCACGAATTATAGATCTTCTGGAGTCTTCTTATCGGTCCAGTGTGTTCCTGCCTTTTCGCTCCCGACACATGGTCTTTTGCATAACCCAACCCACCACATTTAGGTGGTGACGGTATATATATATATGCATTAGTTGGGCTATGTACGTAGCTAACTACACAAATATATTGGTTCCAGTTGTGTTGAGTCTCAGCTTTAAGAGTACTCTAGCAGCTAGAGCTATACTCAGTAGTCTTTTGACGTTAGATGTTAAAAGTTATTTGAAAGAATACCCTGATGTCAGTCTTTTGATACTTATATCAGCAGGTCATTATAAATTATTTAGCATAATCCCAGCATGTTTAAGAAAAAATCAAAACAAGATCTGTTTTCTGAACGTTTCGCTGTGTAAGCCACAGCCTCTTCAGCAGAACTATTCGGATTTTTACTAATGATTAAAATATATAGTCGAAATCTTTTTTACATAAATTGGAGTCAGTTCATTTGAAGGTCACTTGTCGATAGACATTTGTACCAATAGAAATATGAAAGTGGTCTTCATATATTTGCAATGACTAATGTCAAATTGTCATTATGTATATTTGTCTGTATGAGTGTGTATGTTACTTGTCATATGGAAAAGACGTCAGTTCACATGTGATAAACACGATAATACTTTCTATAAAGGTCTTGGATGCTCATAGAGGCCTTTTTTGTTGTTTTCTGATCTGTCTTGCCTCGTTAGAGTTTGCCATACAGATGTCTATCCCTTCTCTCCTATTTACTGCATGTATAGCATGCATTGCTATAGCTGATCTTTTTTCTAGACTTTTTAATTCTACTTCATTTCTAGATGGACGTTCCGTGCATAGTCTATGTTCATTCACTCTGACCTTCACCTGTCTACTGCTCTCCCCCATATAGCAAGCTTCACATTCTAATTATCTAGAAAAAGCTTTGGTGAATGTCAAATATATGGTTCTAAAAATGTCACAAAACATTAGAGTCTATAGAATAAATTGTTCAGTGTTATTTTTCTTAAACACGCTGGGATTATTTTAAATAAAGATTGGCAGGCTAATGAGGCAGAACTTAAGAGAACAGGACAAAATGGAGGTGCGCTGTTTAGGGGCCCTATTGTTCCACTCGGGATACACGGTTATAATACTAATAATCATAATTTTCGAGTCGAAGAATGACACAAAAATCCATGAAGGCTAAACTACTGCCTAAGCCCTCCTTTATGTGCATCTGCTTTTTCACATGATGTTGTGGAGCTGATTATATTGGACTTTGTAAAAGTGTTATCCGGAAGCACGTAACTGAATACCGGCCAGTTTGGTTGATGAAAGACGAATATAATATGGAGAAGTCTTCTATCTGTGAAAGCTTTCCTGAGTCAGGTCATTCCGCCACACGCAATCTATCCGTTGAAGTTATCTACAGGGTTTACGTCTTCTCCATTTATTTATAGCCGAACCACTACCTATTATTAGTATTATTCGTCTCTTGGATTCCGAGTGCAATATACAGTTTCAGTAGCACATCACTATTTCTACTGAAGATTCTCAGTTCACCTATCCCCTGGTCTACTGACTGAAGCATGAGATAGAATTGTCGATCTGACTTACAAATTGTGCCGGTTGTCAGCCTTTTAATTCGAATCTCCTCGCCAACCGGCTTTGCTCTCAACTCCTCTCATCAGGTCAAGGTCATCAGAGGTGGCCTTATGAGCAAGTGATACAGAAACCTCTCAGTTGCCAACCTTCTGTGACGGTTTGTAAAATATATGTTTCTGAATCAATTTCATTTTACCTGGTGATCTACAAATCACTGTCATCTTACCGATGACTGCAATCGCCCATTTGAAACCTTGTCACTTGGGTGAAATGCGTGCAGATCACCTGAGAGACATACCAGTATTTGTGCCCAAGGCTTTCCTTCGCACGATTCTGCCTTAGAAATTATCGTCAATATTATGGTTTCTTTGGGTTGCGAGTGGAACACGGGGTGCAAGCGAAATATACTGTCTTGATTGCCGGTTCTTTGCCGTAGATGCCATCAATTCTGAGAAATGATTTAAATGACAAAAGTGTATCTCTTCTTTATCATCGTGCGCATATTTATGATGGATAACATGTCTTCTCCTATGTCAAGTAACGTGGTCGCCTAAGTAATTCATTTGAACCTGAGTAATGTAATGCTTGCAGATGAAGAAAAAACACAATGAAATCATGATTTTTCTGTAATCTTATAATTCCTCTGGGATCCACAAAGGAACATAGGATTTCAACAAGACATCTCTTCTCTGTTATATTTTCTTCTGTCCTTGTTAACCGGGCCAACCATTCCCGGCCACACGATCTCCTCCAAATCACCCTCAAACTATCTACTCACCGTTTCCAATTCGAGTTCCACTTGAGAGTCTGTCTGTCACGCGATGTTAATCGACGATCTCCTCAGCGTGTGCCCATTCCATCGCCATTATATCCTGCGTAATTGTTGAGTGATAGGTACCTGTTGATAATTCATTCTGGCTGGCCATTCGATCTTCATTATAGCACCAGAGGAGACAGTTGTTCATGAAACTCTGCAGGAGCCTGTTCGAAATGCTCTTCGTGATGATGGAAGTTTCTGACCCATATAGAAAAACTGGATCACCTGACATTTGTGTTGAAAATGCGAATCTGGTTCTTTATCCAGAGTGTGACTTCAACTGGGTAACCAACTTGCTTCTCTTTCAGCCGTTCTTATACTAAGACTCTAGACGATCTGGATTTCATGCATTGATGATTTTTGTTTAATGTCACACAAAGTCGAAGACAAGCAAACTGGCTGAAGAAGCAGACGGAGAGGACAGGACTCCAGTTGAACATAAGTAGGACGGAGGTGATGAAGATAACCAAACAACAACAACAGTGACAACAACCAGAATTAATAATCAAAGACGGAAGAGATTTCACAGAGCTCACTTCTTGTCTTTTCATAATGGTGTGGCCCACTGTGTCGGAATGTATTTTAGCGTACCAGTGGAGTTCACTACAGTTATAACAATTAGCAGGTGCAGACATAACAAAGATGCAACGGATTTTATTCAGTTCAGTTATCACAAACTGGCAACGGATTAATTACACCTCGTCGGTTATTTCCTGATGACATTTAGAAAAATTTGTCTCAAATTTTCAGAGAGCAAAGATCTCTGTTTGTTATTTGCTAGCGATATTACGAATTATTTATATTTTCCTTTACTGAAAATGTGATAAATCATATAGAAGATTCGTTCAAGACCATCAAAGGGAGTAAAATAAAGAGATCTGGGCATCTCAGAGGCGCCAGCTATCCAAAAGCTGAAACCAACACTATGTATCCAAAAAGAAATACGCCTAACCCTTTTCCTTGACATTACCATCATAAACAGGTAATACCTTTAGTAGTGACTATCCCATTTCCTTTCTAATCGAAACTTGCTGTTTATTCGTGCTATTTTTAAGTTTTTCTTGATTCTTATTTACACTACCATATTTTCACATCCGATCTTCCTGTCTATTTTGTCATTTTATTCTTTCTACATATTTAATCTTCAATTGCATAAACAATTAGTTGTCACATTAGCTATGATCCCACTATTTTTTTTATCCAAATATCCTGTCTGTTTTTCTGTTTCCACATCTCTAACCCACAATTGCACAATATGTCAATCTTATAAGTAATTATGATGCTACTTTGCTTAAGTTTTATCCGTCCTCTCTGTTCATTATGGCAATTTCTATTCCTAATTGTAATTTTATTAATTTGCCCCCTGACTGGAACTTATTCTGGAACTTACCCACCCATTTATAATAAATACACGAATGTACAGCGTAGGTGATGGTGACTTCGTCGAAAAGAAAATTTTCTTCATCGCAACTGTCTTTTTATTATCCCCTATGATCAAATGTTTATATTCTGTGAAATAATAATAATATTTCACAAATCACTTTTGACTATTGGATTTTATATTGTGTTCCATTTTGTTGAATGAATTAAGGGACTTTGTTACTTATTCACTTATTACAATAAATTTAGAAATATTTTCATTGTGTTTTCTGTTGTGGAAAATAAAATTTATGGTTTTGGTTTTGTGTACTTTATCACTCACGACTTATTCATCATACTCGTGAATTTCGACACTGTGAACGATTTAAAACTACTTACTCTGAAATTAATCAGTTTGTTTGTGAGTAAATGTTAGTTCCTTTTTATGACTTCCAATTGTAAACATGAATTCAACAAGTCATTCGTCTATTGGAGAGAAGGTGCAAAGTCTATTAGTAGAAAAATTGAATTAAATACACCTGATTGATGTGCACATCAGTTTATTTTGCAATAACACAAAGATAAACTTGAAATTGGCATTCTTCGCAGGCGAGTAAGCAAAATGAAGTGATGATGCCTAATCAAGAACACACTACTCTGCGACTTGACATAGTGAGTACTAAATGATCATCAAATAGTTAAATTTAATGGGTTGTACATGGATCCATTCATGTTACCTAGTTTCGCTGCATGTTTCCATGTGAACTGATATTTTTATGCAAATTTCTCCTTAGGTATTTTTGGGAAGAACAACTGCTGCACAAACCTGTCTTCGAAAGGTAGGCGTGTTTGTGTATTTACAGTGTAACATGTAATCAAATCAAGTACATCATTTTCACGTGTTTAATGGTTTTGGTGACGGTGATCACTACGACCTGTGTAGCAACTATGTAAGTCTCTACAGTAACTGTTTTACTGCAAATTGCTGATTTTAGTAAAGAACTTCAGTATTTGTACGACGTTGTTTACATGCCACTGGTTGTTTCGTGAGTTACTTGATTTAAATGATAACATGTTTCTTTATGATGGTGAAACATTAGATTTTGGATAGTTTTATGTGGATTATTGTGATAAGCTCCTTAAAAGTGGTGACAGGCGGTGGAACCTGGGATTTGGATTTCTCTCTATTTTGGAACTGGTGGGCTAGATTTAACTGCATTCTCAGTAATTACTGGTGTTCCCTCTAACCCTTGAACCAAGTGTCGATCGCTTACACATGATAGACACTTCTTGTATCACGGGTATCAATCATTATTTTTTCGATGCAAGTTTGTATTTCCCGTTGATTGAGACAGTTGGAGTGAAATGTTTGATCAGCGTTGACCTGTCTGCTGGTTAATGGATGCTTCGTCAGTGTTAGGGGATAAATACGTTATTCGGTAAGTGGTGGATGGAAAATGAGAGCTACGGTCAAATGGAATCGCCCAACTGTGACTACAAAATTATTTTCAACTAGCAGACAGTTACTTGATTTAAAATTTTTAGCTAGATGGAGTATCATAAGTTGTTTTGTTATTATTTCATGAACGGTTACAACTGGAAGTAGCTGGAACAAATTTTGCTTCGACTGAAACAGCACTGCTTTGATGATTGAACACTAGTCATCGCCACAGCGTTTAGTTCTCTCTAAAACATTGATGCATAATGTTATTGATTTTCCATAACTAACTATTTCTTTTATTTTGCTTTTTCAGTGTACTCGGTGCAGTGCTCTTGTTAGTGCTTTCCATTAATGAGAAAGTTAGAGAGACTTTTCCACTGAATGACGTACTGATCTCACTTTCGGTGAGTTTATCCTAATTCATGCCAATGCATGTTTGTTTCTTTCAAATCCCTGGCAATTTCGCAAAACAATCGTTATAAATCAATGGCTGAATCGCACATTTTTACAGGCTGATTCATCACAGATTAGTTACATCTTTGACTCGAACGACGTGAAAATCCGATAAATTTTTTTATGCTGACTACAGACTTCATTGAACGTTATGTTGACAAGAAATGTTCTGTGTGTAACACGAGTAATCTGCTTGTCATTCGTAAATTTCATTTTACACTGCTGTGACTGAGGAAGACATACTTGTTGAGGGATTACATATGGATGATAGACAAATCAATGTGTGCAGCTGACCAGGTGAAGAATTCTAAAAAGCTCTAGGCTACTGAGATATCATGCTTCACTACGTGCCTCCTGTTCAATACACGTGAATAACGAAGTTCTGAATGGGAGAATGAGTCAAATGTAGGAAATTTTGTTTCAAATATTTTGATCATTTTAGTTCATTAATCGGAGATGTGCGGCCGTCAAGCTAAATCCCGGCAACAAGTATTGCAAAGTAGGCTACAGATTTTCCAAATTCTCAATAAGAGGGTTATTTTCACTTCATAACCCGTGTTAGTATTACGCCACCTTGGTTGCATTTTGGCATAATTGAACTACGTTTTCTTAAGATACGCCAACTGCTTAAATTTTTTTGAGTCAGTGCCTAGTTGAATATTAAGGTGGGGACTAGAGTGACGTGATCAACTTGTTATCTGAAGGGTGTTCAATCTGATTGAATTGTCGTTCAAAGAAATTCGTGCACTGCCGATTCTGTCATAAAATCCCTCATAGTTTCAGGTTGGTCCATCTAGTTTCCAAATGCATACTGATCACATTTTTATTATTCCGTAAGAATACAACACACTCCATCATGTTTTTATCCGAATAATAAACAAACTAATAACGAGTACCACAATATCACTTTACCCATTTTCACACGTAAATCTTAAATTTGATATGTCAATATAAATGTACTTACGATTTCGTAACTCAATATAATCTATGTATGTTTTAGGTCTTGTTATGGTCTATTGCATTACCTGCTATCACCAAATCCATGGGACTTTTAATTTTTGCACCATGGGTTATTGCAATCATCCTAGCTGTGGTGACACTGATAATTGGATACAAAACTGTGAAACGGAGTGCGAAAGTGAGCATCATACTACTGAGCGTCGCTGGTGGAATCACAGTGTTGGGCATCTCTGTGCTAATTGCTTTGAAAATTGCTCAGCGTGAAGTAAGTAGCGTGTTATTCATTCCTTGAAGCAGTAATTTGTCCTCTGAATATCGCATATTGTTCAAATACTGTTGATAAATTACCATTTCTTCCGTAACTGGTCGTATGTTGAGCAGGATATTCTGTAAGAACATATATCATCAACGCAGAACACACACCACTCTATTGTAGCAGAACTGTCCATCAGTCAAATTTCACTCAGTAATCAAACGACATTTGAAGTTACAGTGGAAGCTCCGATTTGTACAATGTATTTCTTCTGTGCTTCTTCATTTCGAGTTTCCCACATTGCTTCACAGTTTCGTTCATTTCTCTGGTTTGCAAATCGAACTGCTTGTCCTGTACGATTCAAGATTCACGGAGAAGATATGAATTGACATATCACTTTCAAATTCTCCTCACTTGCTAACGCTACATAACATTTCCATATACATGAACTATACGGATGAAAAACACATAGGAAATCACTGCTTGCATCAACCATCTATTGCATTTCAGTAATTTAAATTTTGCCTAATTGCTGCCACCTTGATGTGGTATTCAATCTTCCAATATCTAAATGACCCAGTGAGCTGCACTGATTGTGATTCGTGTCGCTTCAGGTTGTGCCATGACACAAAAGTTGTTTCGATGACGGTAAGACTAAGAAAGTTATCGTCATAGTGTAAATTGTTCACACTGTGTTGAATGTCTGTAGGTTAAGTTGTAGTAATGGAGAGTCAGAATCTAATATCAGTATGGCGTCTCCTTCAAATGACCATCAGGTCAGCTCCTCTCACTCTTCACCCTATAAAGTTTGAAGTAGAAGAGGTCGATCCTGGAAATCGGGCATCCGAGTAATCCTGAGGCGGTCAACAGCCAGTGGTACGACAGTCAAATAATTAAAGCGTTTAGCTTATGTATTTCATATTTGTCAAGTCTGCGGTAAGGACTGAATTCTAAATATTATTTTTACAACGTCATCAAATCACGAACAGGCCACCTGTAGAGAGTACAGTTTAAGTGATATCGAGTCATTGAACGAGCTACTGACGATAGCCTGCGTGTCGATAACCGCCAAACACTGCACATATTATGCAGTCAAGCACTGGATGACATGAAACACAGATAAAGAGTGGGAAATAAGAAACTAAAAGTACTCGTTTAATATTGAAGACAAATCAGCGATTTATTATTGGTCCATATTACTTTCTATCTCTTATTTGCAGCTAATTGCAGTTATTCTGTTTGGCATATTTTTGGCTTTCGCTGTACTCATAGTAAGTCAGATGGTGAATTTTGAGAATATTCATGAAACTATGTTATATATATATATATATATATATATATATATATATATATATATATAATACGCTATCACTATTTATCCGTTGTTATCACACTGATATATCCTCAATTCACTGGTGAGAATTCACGTATGCATTGTGTTGCGTGTGTGTATGGGTGTTGCTCGCTGATTTCTTTTTCTTTTATGAAAACGCTTTTCTCAACCTCACTTGATCATATCATCTTTTAGTAGGACAAAATATTTAGAGCGAACAATTGTTTTCAATAAATTCTTCTTCAGGCTCTACAATTATAAATCCATTAATTTAAGCATACAATAACCAGCCAATAAAGGCAAACTAGAATCATATCAGAAAGTGTATTGTGGAACAAGTATAAGTAGAATGGGATGGAACAATAGTCAGATAGTTTTTTTTTAATATGCATGGTCAATGAGAACATGGGACAAAATCAGATGAAGTAAATTTAATTTAATGATGTGTTTATATATGTATAAATATAGTCAACAGAAGAATACAGCTTTCGAGTGTGTGTGTAATCAGGATGTGTGAGACGATGTGAAAATAAACCAACGAATGGGGCGGTCTAGACATAAGTTCAAGGTTGAAAATAACGACAATAAGAATGATTGTAAAATAATAATAATGAAGTAGAATGAACAGGATTTTGTAAATGCGATAGCAAGTTAGAAAAGCACTACTTAAACCTAAGGTAATAAAATCATAAGAAAGGTCATGAAATCATAAAAGTCGAAAATGAACGTTTGTCAATGAAACAGAGGAATAGAAGAAGAAGAAAAGAAAAGAAAATTGTGAAAGGAATTTATAGTGTAAATGGAGGATTTGTTGGCTTTATTGTAGGCCAAGGTAAACATAGTGGTTGAACATACTGCTTCTGTATGCAAAGAGATGGTCTCCTGATATGAATTGCCACCGCTTCAGCTACTGACAGAAGACGTAGTCGAGCTCCTCTAGATAAATTACTAGGAACGCGGTAAATAACTGAGAACGCCTGGTCAATTTTTATCGGGTGTCCAGTATCTACCAAGTGGGCTAAGACTGCACTATTTACACATTTGGTTACTCCTTTACTCAACCATACAGGTACATGTTCACGTGCGCGCATGGATAAAGCCCCCTGAGTACGGCCAATGTAACTAGCTCCACATGAGCAGTTGAATTCATAGATGCACATTGATGAGGCCATCTTTGGTAATTTATCCTTTACTTGCTGTGTGAGTACTGGTTATTTGGAATTTTGATTTCTTCTCACGCTTATTTAGTTGCGTCATTAATAAATAGTCGTCTTCCTTCATTTGTCCGGTATCTAACCAATGGGACTTAAGAAAAGGCGTAAACAGCGAAGAAAATGTTCTTTTCGACGATTGATTTTCATGAGCTGCTGTACAATCGTAATTATATTTAACAAATAAATCCTCAGACCAATCAGATACTGGTAAACCTTGTCCTCGAAAAATGTATTACACAATGTAAGGTGTAAGAAGGGATGACTAATTGAAAGTTAGAAAAGAGGCAGAAACTGGCATGACGTAATAAGTGTGAGAAAATGACTAATCAATAAGCTCGTGTAGAATGAACAGGAACTAGTGGAAAGGCGATAAAGTGTTTTAATATAAAATCTGTATGAAAAAGCAATGTTATTAATAAACAGTAATGGAGGGGTAATAAAATATGGATGATGGGAATATTAATGATAATAAAATAATAGCAGTAATAACATCAATAATAATAGTGAACTAACATAATAAAAAGAAGCAGCAAAATTAAAGTAAGAACGTTACTCTGACCATGATAGGGCGAGAGAATGTATGTATTGCTTTTGAATGCAGAGGTCCGGTTTCAGGTCTAGAATAGCTAATGCTTCAGCAATGTACAGATGGCGTATACAAAGTCCCTTTGTACGATATTGAGGGACTCTGTGTAGGATTATGAAGCAATGATGCGTGGGTGCTCGATGTCCGGAGATGACAAGTTGTTCGAGGATAGAGCTACTGATTTTCATGTCATTCATGTAATACCAAGTTGTCCATAAATTACGCAATCTTGTATTTTGAGTACCTCGAATTATTGTTGCTACTCATGCACTCCACTTTATGTTTTATTTGAGAAACTTCGTCCACATCGCTCATATGAATACAACAATCCCTTATTGCGAGGTGATTTCATTTTCCAAACACCATATGTTGAAAATACGTTGATTTCTGAATCTTGCTTCAGTTTGAGGTAGTCATGTGAATTAACTGAATAATCTCTGAAAAGGAAGACCATCCGTCGAATCAATATATTTGCGAAACTTAAGGACAGTGATTTTAACGTTTTCAAGTTAGCGATAATCTCGGTGAAGCGATCATTCATATCACTTCCAATGTTTTTATATTTTCTTTCTCTGTAATAGGTTTTATATCTCACTGGACAAGGTATAAAGCGTTGCAACAATGAAACAATGAGGACTCTCCTACCAAGTGGGTTAGCTTTGATTACTTGGGCAGCAATTGTTTATTTATTCGTATCCATAGCTGTGATGTTTATAGAAGATGAAATTGCGATACGTTAATAACTGAAGAATAATGTCCTCCTCCTTTGTAACAGCAAGGTGATTTATGCATGAAAAAAACATTCAACCCATTTTTCTCTCTTGTTGGCTCTGTTGTCAAAATGAATTCTATTTGATGAAATACATTTTGCAGTGTTGTATTTTATGTTTACTATTGACGTATGAATGGATTTTACTCATGTGTTGGATAGTGAGACACTACCTACTACGTCTCATAGTGTAAGAAAATTTTATCTGGAGATGATTGAAGTGTTAAGAAATTCAAAATGCTTTTTATTATTATTATATCCTTTAATTCCTACAGGAACATAGGGCTTCAGCCGTGCGTCTCCATTGCGTTCCGTTCTCTGCCAGAGTCTTTACCTGGCTCCATGTCTGCCCACACGTTTTCATCTCCTCTTCACATGACCTCCTCCAAGTCACGCTCGCACTGACGACCAACTCGCCACTTCCCTTTCGGGTTCCACTCGAGCAATGGCTTGTCTAGTGATGTCACTTGATGGTTTCCTCATAATATGGCCAATCCATCTCCATTTCTTCCTGCCTATTTGTTTCACAATCGGTTCCTGCTGGGTTGGTTCGCTCCCAGAGATCTCTGTTGCTGATCTTTTCTGGCCGGCCATCTAATCTTCAGTATTGAGTGAAGATAACTGTTAATGAAGGTCTGTAGTTTGTTTGAGATGCTCTTTATGACGCGCAGTGCAAGTCTCTGATCCGTATAGTGAGTAGCACTGACTTCACATTGGAGTTGAAAATCCCGATCTTATTTTCATTTTCATTCTGAGTGCTGTTGACCTCCACACAGACTTGAGAGTAGTGAAAGCTTGTCTTGCTTTTCCGATTCTTGCTTTGATATCCTCGTCAGTTCCGCCTGTAGTTGAAACAATGCTTCCCAAGTGGGTAGGTAAAGGAGGTTGTTCCTTTCAGGTTCCTCCCATTTATGCTGATTTTTGTCTGTTGTTGTTGTTGTTCTTGTCCAGGAATCTTCATCACCTCTGTTTTCTCTATGTTCACCTGAAGTCCTATCTTCTCTGGATACTTCTTCTGTCAACTTGTTGCTTTTCGCTTGCATATCTTCCAGTTTGTGGGAAATCAGACATATATCATCTCCGAAGTCCAGATCCTCCAAGTTTTTTGTGTGAGTCCATTTTATGCCTGTTTCCTCGCTGCCCACTGTCTGTCGCATTATCCAACCTACCGCAATCAGGAAAATCATTGGCGATGGTAGGCAGCCAGCTTGTCTTACTCCTGTCTTCACTTCGAAGGATTCCGTGAGCTTCCCGTTGTGGATTACTTGGCATGCAGCGTTGTCATACAACTGTTGGATGAGATGTATAATTGTCGGTGGCACCCCGTAGTAGCGAAGTAGTTGCCAAATCACCTCTCGGTCGACGCAGTCGAAAGCCTTTTCAAATTCGATGAAGTTGAGATAGAGAGGTGACCGCCATTCCAAACTTTGCTCAATGATGATCCGTAATGTGGCGATCTGATCAATGCATGACTTGTTTCTCCTGAATCCAGCCTGTTGCTGTCGAAGTTTTTCATCCAGGGCATGTTTGATTCTCTCCAGGATGATGCGGCTTAGTATTTTGCTTGGGATGGACAGGAGCATAATTCCGCGCCAGTTCTTGCATTGACTTAGGTCTCCTTTCTTTGGTAGTTTGAATAAGTATCCTTTCTTCCAATCCTCGGGTACTTTGCCTTCTTTCCACACCTTCTCCAGTAGTGGCGTCATCAAGTCCGCTGTTGTCTCTGGGTCCATTTTCAACGCTTCTGCTGGGATTCCATCTGGTCCTGCTGCTTCTCCAGCTTTTAGCATCCTGATTGCCTTCAGGACTTCTGATTTCGTCGGGGGGGGGGGGTTGGTGTTCACTGGTAGCTCTGTCTCCGTTGTGGGTATTGCTGGGCGCGTTGTCGGTGGTGGTCGATTTAGGAGTCTTTTGAAGTGTTCAACCCAGTGTTTCCTTTGCTCCACCTCTTTGTTGAGTGACTTTCCATTGTCATCCTTCACCGGCTTAATTTGTGTCAAACTTTTGCCCGATAGGTACCTAGTTGTTTGGTACGGTGTTGCGAGGTCTCCTTTGCCTGCAGCTTGTTCTGCTTCACCTGCTATGGTTTCGTAATACTTTCTTTTGTCTTCTCTGGCACTCTTTAAATTCATTTAGGAAAAAGTTATTATAAGTCATTTGATGAATACTCCTGAACTACATACTCTGGGAGTGAGCATGTTATCAGCAGAAAGGACTAGACTCAAAAGATTCCTCTCTCAGATGGTTGTGTGTGTGTGCGTTATAACGAAACCAAAGACACTTAAAGCATCCTCAAGTGGGCTAGACTTTTATTTACTTAATATTAGGTTGATTCCGTTTGACCTATTTATTTCTTGAAGAAAAAAATTCAGTGAACATAGTTTGTTTGCATGAAAATTATAGTAATTGGCTATTTTATTTTCAGCACAACGTCTGAGAAGGTTCTTGAAAAGGCCTGCTTGTTATGATGCTAGATCTTTTGTCACGAGGTCACTGCTTAACTACTGACCAGTGCCCACTTAACTGGTAAAGCAGAACACGAAGAGAATCAACGGTAAAACCAGGTTCATTTATTATGACAAAAGTGACTGTATTTATACAGAAAATAAGGTAGACTGGAAATCAACCAATCCGGTTGAGAGTTGGAATTGTGCAAGCGTCCAATCAGAAGCAGGAACAATTGCATGTCAACGACTTGTTAATAACGCGATAATAACTTGACTGAGAAATGATAATGACCTGATAATTGCATGTGTTTTGCCTCTTCCTAACACCTCCCCTTTTAAGATAGGGCTACCGGTAGCTTTTGTATCGCGGAATCACTTGTAGGTACTTTGGCGGTCTTGGTTGTCGTTGTGATCTCCTTGGCTGCTGGGACACTTTGCCTTTGTTTCGACTATTTTGGCCATGTGACGTTTTCGGATCCGTCGTATCTATCAATAGCTCAAATTGTACGTCGGCGGACTTGGAATCGTTCAACTGTTTACCAACTAGTCTATTTCTTATTTGATTGGCATGCCTGACCCAAATAAGGTCTCCAACCTTGACCTTGTAAATGACTTGGCCTTTTCTTCCAACGATCACTCCAGAAACCCATGGGCGATCTCTCCGTATGTAATCACGAACCAGTACCGACTGACCAACCATGAAACTTCTTTGCTTGGTGCCATGACGTCTATTGAACCAAAATTCACTATTTCGACCACATTTGCTCCGTCTTGATGGGATCGGGATAATTGTATCCAAAGTAGTACGTAATCTTCTTCCAAACATAACTTCTGCGGGAGATGTTTGATTTGGGCATGATGGGTTGGTTGTGGTTCGATAAATGAAGAGGAAATTGTGCAATACATCCTCTATCGATCCCTCCCCGTTTGACTTCTGAAGTGCGCGCTTGAGTGTATCAACAAAACGCTCTGCTTGTCCATTTGACTGAGGATGGTAAGGCGGGCTGCGAATATGCTGAACACCTAGCCGCTCACAAAACTGTTTGAATTGTTCAGCTGTAAACTGAGGTCCGTTATCGGAAACGATGATCTCTGGAACACCAAATCTGCTGAAAAGCTGAACCAACTTATTTAATGTTATCGTCACTGTGGTATTTTGCATAATGAAAACCTCCGGCCACTTGGAATACGCGTCGATTACCACGAGAAACTGTTTGCCATTGATTGGGCCGGCAAAATCTATGTGGATTCTTGACCACGGTTTTCCTGGGTTGGGCCACGGCTGTAGGTCTGTCTTGATAGGCATTTTCAAAGCCTGAGCACAGCGAGAACATGAGCGAACCATCACTTCTAATTCACGATCGATATTTGGCCAGTAGACGTAACAGCGTGCCAACGATTTCATACGGCCAATACCAGGATGCGTAAAATGTAGTTGACTCATGACTTTTTGTTGGAGACTTCGAGGCACGACCACACGTTCGCCAAACATAATGCAGTCATTGACCAGGGATAACGAATGTCGTCGTTGATAGAACTGTTTTAAATCTGGACAATCAATACGCGAGGGCCAGCCACAACGCAGATACTGTTGAACTGACTGTAATGTCGGGTCACGCTGCGTCTCTCGTTGAACCATGTCGGCTGAGACAGGTAAAGTGTTTATTGCCGTCATCAATACGTGGCACACGTCTTCATCGACAGAAACGCCGGCGATCACAGCGTCCTCCTTTGCGGGCTTGTTATAGCTGAGTAAACGCGAGAGGCCATCTGCATTCCCGAAATCTTTTGTAGATTTGTACTTGATCTGAAAGTCGTATCCTAGTAGCATAGTCGCCCATCGTTGGAGTCGATTGGCTGTATAGACTGGAATACCTTTCTTGGAGCCAAAAATCGATAATAGTGGTTTGTGATCAGTAAAAAGTGTGAACTTTCGGCCAAGCAGCATTTTGTGGAACTTTTGAATCCCAAACACGAGCGCTAATCCTTCCTTTTCGACCTGACTGTAATTCTGCTCTACCTTTGTCAAGGTTCGCGATGCATATGCTATTGGCTTTTCAACACCGTCTGGAAACACATGTGAAATGACAGCGCCAATACCATAGTTGGACGCATCTGCAGCTAATGTTATATCCAGCTTTGGATTGTAATGTGTTAACAGCAGGTCAGACTGGAGTAATTTCTTGACCTTGATGAAAGCTTGTTGGCATTCTTCTGACCAGTTCCATTTAGCATTCTTCATGAGCAACTGATTCATTGGGGCCCTGAGACGATGTAAATCTGGCAGGAACGCACTATAGTAACTGATCATCCCCAGGAAGGACTGCAACGTACTGAGATTATGAGGGGCAGGCATCTGTTGAATTGCTGACACACTGGAGGGGTCG